GTATCTGCCGGAATGCAACGGCCTAGGTGAAATGCCTGGCTCTGTGCCAGAGACTTTAACCTCAATTTGCAATAAAATACACACGAAGGAGGAAAAGAGAGAGAGAGAGAGAGAGAGAGAGAGAGGGGGAGAGGAGTAGGAGAAGAGAGGCAGAATATACGAGAGGGTGGATTCTTTCGCACGAACGCGCACGCGGCTCGTCTCATAGAACCTCGCTCTCTTTTCTCGTACAGAAATGCGAAAGTGCATGCAGCCAACAAAGGGTGACCTGTGCACAGCAAGGAATGTCTAATGAATTTTTCTGTAATATTAATTCGAGAAATTTCTCTTGATTCTCTGGCCATGACTTTGGAAATCTTCTACGCTGTTGCGTTTTCATATGGTGACGTAATACTCTCTTCAGAGGATTAGATCTAAATGTCGGAGTTTTTTATTAGTAGAGTAAGTGATCCAACAATGAACCATATAAATTTCAAAGGCTTATATCTCTCTCAATTATTGAGTTGAAGATTTAAGTTTTGGCATACAGTTTATGAATTTAGTTGGCTGCATACTGTAAATGTACAATAACTCTTAAGTTATTTTTTAAGTTTAGTCACAATTTCGATTATTTTAAAAAACGGGAAGTAGTTCATTGTGTACATATATATAATGAACCATGCTATTTTTAATAATGAACCGCATGTTTTATACTGCGAATTGTTGGGATTATTTTAGTTTTGCCATATTTTAACATGTTTATTTAGAAAATAAATAATTATAAGAGAGATGATAAGGATTCACGAAGTCGACCGCTGTATTTTTCTGTCAGATTCTTTCTTTTTGAGTGAAAACTCGTCGAATGAGTATATTTTTATTAAGATTTTAGATGGGGGGAGGAGTCGTATTCTAAATAATTACTATAATGAATTATTATTTGGAAAGTTATTGTAAAAAAAGTTATGTGCCATGGCTCATTGTTCACTACATCAAAATGATTCATCGTAGACCACCTAACCTTTTCCACGATAATCTCCAAAATAATGCGGTAAAATAATACAACAGAAAAAAGTTGCTTATAAAATAATAAAGCCAAATGTGCACACGAAACAATTGCACAATGAAAAAAATGATAGGTGAGATAACAACAAAAACATAAAAAATGCGTAAAACTTACGGAAAAAACTTGTGCTCGGTTCACAACCTTGCTTTAAAAGGCCGTAAGCCGTAAGCTATAAGAAATTGACCAATCACAGTCGATTATTTTTCTCATATTCAACTGTGATTAGTCAATTTCTTACGGTTTATGATCTTTTAAAGCAAGGTCGTGGACCGAGCATTACTTTACAATCCAAAATTCTTAAAATGTCGCCTGACATCGTAGAGGATAGATGTCCTCTCCAATAGTATCATGGCTTAATTTAATCTATTTTATTATACGGAACTTAGTTAATTTGCGTTTTCCTCTCTGCGTCTGACTTACACCATTATGACAAATCAAGATTGTAGAATTGGAAAAGCGAGATGAGATCACCTTTATGGTACTTATATTTGGACCGCACAAAGCGAATACTATATTAACCGACGTTTTTACTGGACTTTATTATGTGATCGAATATTCCGATAATTTATGTATTATTGCTTGTTGTTTACATTGAAGATGACCCGATCGGTGTCGAAACGTTTGTATGTATGAAAGTTTATTAAATATGCTTTATGTTGTAACTGGCTTGTAGCCCTTCTTTTAACTATTGATTTATTCTTAAAATGTGTTATTACATGGCCGTCCTTGGCGCGATTTGCCAGCTGACTAGGGAGCCGTGGAGGAGTTCAAATGCAAATCGCTGCATGATAACAGCGCAATCTGGTAACGTCGCATTTACGAAATATCGCAATGGTTCATAGTGTACTACTGGTTCACTGTTGGATTACCTACCCTACTTGCTGTCAGTATTTTCTCTGCCAGAATTAACGATCATTGACGATATTAACGATTGTGACTGATATTTATATAATTGAAGTATATAGCATTATAACATTAATTTTTAACGAAAGTTAAAATATATTTTATATTATTGATAAAGAAGGAGATATATCATGTATCGAGATAAAAAAATAGATAAAGACATTAATTTTATTACTGTAAATGAAAGTCATTATAAATAAAATCAGAAATATAGAATTAATATACGTTTGATAAAATATTGGATTGTTAAAAAATTGATACTTATAACGAAAAAAAAAAAATATTAATTCTTTGAAGACTACTTTCGTATTTGTGTTTGTTTGTATCGCGTGTTACGACCTGTGGAAGACGTGTAATCGTGCGAGATGATCGCGTTTGGTATGCTGAGGAAGATTACAATATGCCAAACGGCGTTATATTTCGGAGAGGAAACTTAAGTGTAAAAAATTTCAGTAATTCAGTAGCGAAGCACTCTCAAGACCTAACTTCATTTTTGCGGAAGTCTAGGATTTTATTAAGAGATGCCTGAAATACTCTGACACGACGGATTCCGGTAATTTAGTCTGCACTTATTTTCGTTCTCTTTCTTTTCGTTGCTATGCACTGCAGTATTATGTTACGGTACATTATCTCGTGGTTTAACTAATGTACATAGGGCATCTTTTCTGCTTTCTATCTTATGTAGTTTTAACAACAAGCTCGAAGTGAATATTTTATTCGACTAAAATTTCGAAAAGGAGCCAATGAATTCCGAGCGATTGAGAATAAAATACCTCTTCTCAAGATAGCATGAAAATCCTGCTGTTTGTTTAGACTTTAGTCTTTCAGAATGTTCGTTTGTAATTTTGTATTTAATTACAACGCCCCTTGAGAGTCTCGCTAAGGAACATTAGATTCCAAACTCGTCGTAGAATTTGTCGTTAAAATTTGGTCGTCGTTTCCGCGTGTATACGCGAGACATTTGCTCGCTCACGTTTATCTCGAAGCGCGCTCGCGTTCGCGTCCGTTTATCACCGTGGCAATAAACGCGGCAGTTAAACAACGACGGTAACCCGCCTTGTCCTAGTCCGCTTCGTTCCTTCCGCGCTGTTCTTCGGGTGCTAGAGACTTTACGAGCGGCGACGAAGAGCCCGGACTGTTACGATTATCTGACTGCGGGTATGTACGTACATACGTACCACACATAGCGTAGACAAGGACGAAAGATAATGAAATACAAGGACGACGACGAAAATGATGTGGGAAGAAGATAGAGACCCCGAGCCATCGGGAGTCTATAAAGTCTTGCGGCTGGCAGCGCGATTTTACCCGTGGCAAAAGTTGTACGAATGTCACATGTGCTATCAATTGCTCTGAAAGATGTAGCAAATGTCTTTTATACGTTTGAGATGTTTAGAACGCTTATTTACTGCGTTTCCACCGCATAGAATGCAGCACGACATTCTTAATTCCGACATTATTTTCACTTACACTTTAAATAAACGGATATCTGTTACGAGCGTTTCCTGAAAATAAGACAAGATAGCAATTTTTCTTAATTTTTTTTATTACATTATTTTTTACTTGTTCATTACTGCCTTATATATTATTATAAGGATATTATTATTTTGACGAGTTCTGTAATCGTCGAAAATCGATTCTGCCGCAGTGTATAATTATAGTTGAACCGCAATGTCCGTGGCGTGTCTGTAATCTGCGTGATCGGTCGAGCTATAATAAATCGGTACAATCGTTTATTTTAACCCACACGTTTTAACCCTTTCAGAGTCAGCTGACTCTGAAAGAAAGAATGGAAACATTTTCGTTACACGCGATGTATCAGCATTCGATGCTCAATCTATGTCTGTGATTTGTCTTCGTTAAAAATCAGAATAATAATCACGTTTATTTAAGTAGATCAATCTACTTTTAAATCAAACAAGGAAGAAAGTACCAAACACGGTCGAGGCTAAATTAAGTGCTTAATAATATTTCTATGTAAATTTTTAATTGTACCTTTCAGTTATATAAACTGCGCGCCAGTTACTGTCGCGATTATAAACTGAAATAATCTCACAATCTCTCTACTTTTATTCAAGATTTATTTTTTTGTAAAATATTACTAAAAGTTTGTAAAAATATTTCTATATGTTTGAGTAATCAATAAAATATTACGTTTGCACATATACTAAGAGAAAAATATTTGGTATTTGTAACTATAATTACATATTATTATGATTATTACTGCTATGATATTAGTAACAATAACTACATATACAGTATATTTTTATCAAAAACAGATATATATATAATCGACAACAGAAAATGAGCAAGATTATAATTATTATCATAAAAATAATTGAAATTATTATAATATATGTATAATAATTTTTCGAAAAATTATATTATTCCAAAAAATATGTAACTATAATTTATAATAATATACAATAATTTTTATGATAATAATAATTATAATTGCAGTAATTTTCGGATGACAACAATACATATATTTGTTGATAGAATTATATATATAGTTATTAAAGAATATCTTAAGACCTTAAATGTGATTACACAACAAGCAAGAAATAAAGCCTTTCACGGTCAAGCTAGATCTTAGGTGCTTAAATAACTCGAATTTATATATTATATATATATAGTTATTTTAAATTACGCGCCGAAATGGTGCAAGAGATCCGGGTTCGATCCTCGGCCGAGGTAATATTTTTCGCAATAAAATTATTTACAAATTTTAATATGTTATTCAGCGTCATTTAAAACAACTTATATATGTATATAGTATATAAATTCACACCAAAGTATCTAAGCATCTAAGATCCAGCTTGACTGTTAAAGTTTTTGTTCCTTAGTTATCATATAGTTATTATTATAACAGTAATAATCATAATTATAGCAGCAAGTAATTATAATAACAAATATCAAAAATTATTTTTCATTGTAGTTTTAAATATATATTATACATATACATATATTAATTGTTATATTTATATTAATTCTTACATCATATTAATTCTCTTATTATTAAAAAAATAATTTGTCTGTTTTATTGGTTATTTAGCCACGACCCGGAAGAAGGCCTCGAAGGCGACCAGGAAACGCAGCGCAGTTACAGACAACTCCGAGGGTACAAAGCCCGATATCGCAGCAGCTTGAAAAAGGTAAGTGATTGTCGAGGTTTAACTTTTCTCTCGAAACGTCGATACATGCACAATTACGGTGTTGTTCACAATTTATATTTTTAAAAATTATTTTATCACGAGGGAGGGTTTCGGTGTTATCAGTAAGTATCTGCAAAATATGTGACACAAAATATTGCAACATTATTGACTGTCATTCGCCAAAAATCAAAGAGCCACGTTTTGCCAAACATTTATTTGAAATACAATATACAAGCATTTATTAATATTATTACACGTTTTAACATTATTATATTTGAAAGAATTGTATCCAAGAATATATATATATATATATGCAAGTATTGCGATATTTGAAGTAATTAAACTTATTGATGATTTCGAAGTAAAAAAACCTTTCAGAAACTTAAGTCTCTCGGATTTTTCCGTAAATGATAGTCAATTCCGAAAGCGAGGAACTTTCCTCGAAACGACTGGCGATAATCGCGAGTGGCGTGCTATTTGAAATTGAGATTTAATGAGAACGCAAATGGAGAGAAACTCTCTCTCGTAGGAAGTGCGGGAGCAGCTCGGTTGCCCGAAATTCATTAGTTGGTTCGCGGAATGTCTGGCCCGCTAATTTCTCTCTGGGGTGGAAGTGGTGCGGTATTTGCGCGCTGATGAATACTGTTTTAATCGTGTTTCAAAGATAGTGAACTTTCGTAGCAGGGCTCGCACAACGTCGTAGTTTCTCCGACTTCATCGAGAGGTGAACTCGAAGCGGGCGCCATGCGCCGATAAATCTTTTTAAGTCGATGAACGCAATCGGTCGGTCGACCGATACTTGGGTCAGGCCAGCACAATCGCAGCCGACGGCCGTTAATCGTTATCGGATAGTAAAAGCTTATCCGGCGCTCGGTTTCTGATAGCCGTTACCACGGTCTTATTCGACGTGCCATTCTTACCTGTGTTTGTCGGGGGGATCGTTTCACCAATCGATCGTACGAGCAATCTCGCCCTCGCGCGCGCGCAACAAGACCAACGAAAGGGTTCTGATTTAACAACGCGATCCCTGGCGTCTCGGGTATCATAATAAAAGCCCGATAAAAGCACTGTGATATCGCGCTCGCATCGTGTTGTACATCGACAAGCGCTCGTAAATATCGCGAGTTAGGGCGCAGGAAGTGCATAAAAACTGATTGTTGCTAAGGAAAATAATACTATTGCTGTTTCCGATATGAAACAGAATGAGACGTGTCGTATCTGAAATTCTGTCATAGTTTTTTTCACTTTCCAAGTATATTTAGGATGCTTCTACCAGGTATGTAAATATGAAACCGGAATTTTTTTATAGAAAATACACGTTTATTGCATGAAAATGATAAAAAACATTTTATTCGAAGTATTGCCCATCGCTAGCTATACATTTTTCCCACCTGTCTGACAATTTGTGGATGCCACACCAAAAAAATTGTTGCTCTTTTGAGCCAAACCAGTCATCTAGCCATTTTCGTACATCTTCGTAAGAAGTGAAGCGCTGCTGAGCAAGTGCGTGTCCCATCGATGCAAATAAGTAGTAATCGGACGGAGCCAAGTCTGGTGAGTAAGCCGCATACGAAAGTATTTCCCAACCAAACGCCTCAATCGTTTCCTTGACCAGTTTTGCTGTGTGTGATGGTGCATTATCATGAAGCAAAATCACTTTGTGTTGCCTTTTTTGGTATTCCGGTCGTTTTTCACGCAAAGCTTGATTCAAATTGATCATTTGTTGTCGGTAGCGTTCAGTATTAACGGTTTCGCCAGG